AATGGCCTCACTATGCACTGCAGAAGGGAGCAGGTCCCTACAGGGGACCTTCATGATAAAGAAAATTCCTATAGGAAGTAGAGGTTTTCTGTTTAATTAAATTGTCCAGAAATTAAATTGTCCTTTCTAACTACAGGTCTCACAAAGTTTTATAGCTTCAGTGATTTCACCTGGGCCGATATTTTGCTTTTTCTACATTGTTTGTTTTGAGCTGCTGCCTGGGGCTTAGAAAAGTGACTTGGATATTTTGCCAAAATGGTATTTCTTTGATGGAATTTGAAATCCATGAACACTCTGCTTTCCTGCTGTATCCCCAGAGCAGGTTGAGTAACTTGCACTTCTTTTTAGAACTTCATTAGCCGTGGTAGAAGACTTGGAGTTAGGGCCTCCCTCAAGCTCCACCCTTTCTTTAATTCAGAGGATCACAAGTTGTTGGGAGAAGAGTGGTGTCTTGAGCTCTGGCTGTCCTGATGAGTATTAATATCCAATGTCCTGTAATGAAGTCATGTGTGCACATAAGATCACTTCTGCATGCAGTGTCATGGGAGAGTGGGTTCCTGGGCCCCAGGTTAAGAGCCTAAGCACTACTGGCACAGAGCTAGAGCTCTGGGAGGGGAGGGATGGCTGGGATGGAACCTAGTCTTGTCCTTTAGTCCTGGGACCTTTTCACTCCTCACATGGTAGGTGCTGTGCGTCAGGCAGGTGACGATGTTGATGGAGTCGAGGGCGGAAACTTCCTGGGACTGGGAAAAACAGGGTTGGAGAGATAATTAAGGTGGACATTGTTTTTTGTGAGCTTTAGTTTTGGCTTGAAATCTGGAGAGGCTGAAGGAGTAACTCCCTGCTCTTTTAGCCACAGGCCCAGTACCAACACCAGGGGGCGCCCACACACCATGAATCAGGGATTGTTTAAGGTGGGTTTCTGGTTCCCTGATTTAACCAGGGAGCCACGACCCGGCAGCCAGCTGGCCTGGATTCAACCTGCAGCTCTAGTCCTACTGACACTTTCCCTCCCGGTGCCTCAGTTTCTTCATCTGTGAAATGGTGAGGACATTACAGCACTTACCTCTGGGGTGAGTTTCTTAACAGCAGCCCTATTAACAATTTGGGACAGAGAGTTCCTTGTGGAGTGGGCAGTCCTGTGCATTGTGGGAGCTTTGCCAGGAGCACCCCACTCACCTCCTCCCACCAATCCCCATATGACAACCAAAAATATCCCAGGATTTTTAGATCCCCTTTGGGTCTGGAAGCTGCACGTAGTCAGGCACTTTCCCACCTGACACTTCATCTCACCAATGACATGGTCTGTGGGCCTTATGCTTTGGTCCACATATGGCCACTTTAAAAGGATTCTGTCCATCTTTTAAACAAGTCAATTTTCTTCCTTTATCTCTGCATTCAGTTATTCCTTGCATACTCTTTGTTTAGTATATCTTGAAATGTATCAGTTCCAATCCTAGTAGCAATTCATGATATCTGCTATGACCTCAGTAGAGCTCTGATTACTTTAGCACAGGGAAGATGTTCTCGATTCTGCTCTGGATGATGTAAATCAGTTTATATTTTACTTTACTTGTTTGAGATGTTGTTCCTCATCTGTAAAATGTAAATGTGAACATGGCTCGAACTGCTAAGTGGTTTTATTTCTTCATTCCCCTGATATATGTTGCATACTTACTGCAAGTCAAATACATGGCATGATATTGCTTCCTTGATCACACCACATCAGATGAGAAAACTAGACATTATAGGTAGCTGTGGGGGCACACACTTGTAGTCCTAGCTACTCGGAGGGCTGGGGCAGGAGAATTGCTTGAGCCCAGGAGTTAGAGGTTACAGTGAGGTATGATATCACCA